TATGACTAGGCCTTCATTCTGTTTTTTTTTTCTCACTCGAAGTTTATTTATGTGCCAATGAAGAAGCCTTTAACTATGCTGGAGTATGTAATTTGTACAATTATAATAACATCGATAAAAGCATTAATATTATTCTTCAAGATCTAGGTCATATTTACATGCATAAGAAGTTAAATAATGTCAGTTTGCATTAATGTAAGATTTGTGTATCACATGTACTGGAATATCTGACGTACTGTGTACATCACTGGAATAATTTATTATTCTGTCTCTTGATAGTCATGTGTACTATGCTGAAGCACACAATTCTCTCTAACTCATTGCTATGGTCTTCACTCCTTTTCCTTCTTATCAGTCCTTGGCTATAAATTTGTTCTGCTACTAAGAGTCCTACTACTCGGTCTTGCTTTCCCAGCCAACCATCATCAGCTTCATTCATAACTGCATTTAGTCTCATCATTTGCTGTCTTCCTAAGTACTACTTCTTAAGAAATTTTCAAATTCTCTTGGGAAAGAGCCTGTAATTTCTCACATTGCATTTTCATGCTTTATGTTCCTTGTAGCTTCCCCATAAAAGAGTTGAAATTCCCTTGGGAATTTGTTTAGAACAAGTAGTACATTTTACATGAATTAATCTAGTGACAATATTTTATTCGCATTATATATTAATAGCATTTACAGCTAAGCTTACAACAAACATTGATTTTCATTACCTCTCTCTTTCCCAAGTTCCTGCACCATGATGCTAAGTCATGACTGCTTTCACTGAAGGTGAACTTCTCCCTATTTAAGCCATTTCTTCTGTGTAAAAGCAGTGAGTTTCTTCTACTTCCTGGAAGATTCCCTGGGGATTCTGCCACGTAATTCTCTGAATAAGCCAAAGACTGCTCTGCTAAAGACCACAGCCCTAACACTCACTGTTTATCACCACAGCCTTTCTCTGAATACTGAGCTTAATCACTGCAACCAAAATTGGCATTTGTGCCAACATTTGCCTGCAGTCCTACCCTGCTTGAGCAGCAAACCAAGTAGGGGCCTGGCTGGATTAAAAAGCTGTATCTGAAAGCAGCCTATGAACTTCATGTGTTACCTGAAAAATGCTATCACAGTCCCAGAAAATGGCTGAAATTTCCCGTAAAAATAGAAGGACTGGCAGGAGGAGACTTCTGCCAGTAGCTCCTCTCAAGTCACCTCCACTACCCCCCCACAGACAGTGATCTGTCATTAACCTCCTTGTCTGTTCCTTGTTGCTCTGATCTTGAACCAGACAGGAGCTGCATGTGTCTGGGTGTGGATCTCTGCACAGCCAAAGACCTAACTAACAGAGCACAACTCATTCCCTCAGAGATGTAACCTGCCTGCTACAGTCACAACTAGCAAGTACTGTATCTGTGGACCATTCCCCACAGTATCACATCAAAAGACATTCACAGTACACATCACTTTCTGAAGCAGTCAGAAGTGCTATAAACAGGGCTGATTCTTCCTGTTGATGTACTGTAGACTAGCACACCTTTCAAAATGCCTTTTACAATACAATGACTCTAGAATTTCCCGCCCAAGCTTAAGAGCAGTCAGGAAAGAGGCTGGTCACAACCAGGATACCCCAGCAGGGCAAATTCTGGCAACCAACAGCTCACTCCCTCATGGAAAATTGTTACTGGGAACAAACAGCTGATTGAATGTGTTATTTTGGCTGGCAGCATATGATCTAAAGATGGTAAGACAACTACTATAAGGAACAGAAAATGAGCTAATTAAAAAAATACCCAGATTTCAAATGTCTATGAATCACTTCACATTCTCTTTAGAGGCATAAAATAAGTTAATGTATTTATTAGACCTAAAGGCAGACACAGTATCTAAAATCCTCTGAAAATTTTTAATTGATAGAGGTCCAAAATATTTAAGAGTTTATCAACACATTTGCCAGTGAGAGAAGGCACCTTATACATACATTAAACTTCCTACAATGAGTAAGTATATCCCCAGTGTTCTCCTATTTACTTGGGGAGAGAGAAAGAACATTATTTTTCAAGGAATATCAACAAGACACTGTTAACTCTTACCTTTAGACATCAACTTATATCACCAGATGTAAATGGCACATACAAGACTGAATTAAGTAGGAAAGGCTGAGGGAGCTGGGTCTCTTTAGCTTGGAGAAAAGGAGACTGAGGGGTGACCTCATCAATGTTTACAAATATGTAAGGGGTGAGTGTCAGGGGGATGGAGTTAGGCTTTTCTCAGTGATGACCAGTGATAGGACAAGGGGTAATGGGTGTAAATTGGAGCATAGGAGGTTCAAGGTGAATATCCGAAAAAATTTTTTTACTGTGAGAGTGACAGAGCACTGGAACAGACTGCCCAGGGAGGTTGTGGAGTCTCCCTCACTGGAGACATTCAAAACCCACCTGGATGAGTTCCTGTGTGATGTACTCTAGGTGACCCTGCTCTGGCAGGGGGGTTGGACTAGATGATCTCTCGAGGTCCCTTCCAGCCCCTAAGATTCTATGATTCTATGATTCTATGATAAGTATTGTTTTGGAAATATTCTCTCAACAGAAATACTGGCATATTGCTCAAACAGATGAAAAGAAGTTGTTGCAGACTCAGTTACTTCTGTATGTCACATATTAGATAAAAAACAGGGAGGTCAACTACCTCAATTCATACAAAGACAAAACTACTGGAATGCATAAAAATATATAGTTTCAGCTGGCACGTACTTGGACACTGCTCAACATACTACAATAATTTATGATCCTTATACACATTTTTAGGAAGACCAGATTAAGGGAACTAACCCTTGTGAGATTCAAATGGCTTTCCCACTTAGGCCTCTCAAATAGATTACCTTTTGATTGCTCACCATTAGTTCATTCATGAGGAAAGTCACAAAGTTTTGGAAAGGTGGTAAATCTACAGGTTAGGTCAGATGATTACTTTAAGACAGTTTTCTGTCTTAAGTTTTCTTAAGGAGTGGACAGGTGGAGGTGTTTAGAATAGAGTGCAAAAAGCACGATGTATGTACTCTCTCAAATTGTGGCAATTTGTGGTTTAGGGACTTCCTGTGCTGAAGATTACATGAAAGCTACTCTCAAGTGGTACTGGTTGCATAAAACACAACCTATTATCAGCTTTTGTTTAAAAAAACAGAAGTAACAGCACTTCTTCACCCTTATTCCTTCTTTTCCTCTACTCAATTCAGCAATTCCACATGTCCCTTCAGAGCAAAATATATCTTCCCAGAAGCTCAAAAATGCTTCACCTATTCCCATCCTGGACTATCTCATTAAAACATCAGTTCTAGGATGGTAATGATTACCAACATCAATTATTTCACTTACCTGTTTTTCAGCTTGTCCATAATCTGATCCTTGGGGTGACAAAAAGTGACAAATATGACCATTGTTTTTTGCTTTTTCTCGAAGAGCCATAGCAGTCCGTACTGTTGCATTTCTAGCATGAACAAACACCATCACCTTAAGACAGAAAGAAACAGGCCTGATGAGAAGTATCAAAAGTCTCAATCAATAAACAAAAATCACTTTAATTACAAAATATTCCCATAGGAACAACACCAAAAAAACGTAATACATCATGTACTGCAGAAAACTAATGTTGCTTCAGAGAGATTAAAGATTTGTTAATTGGTTTTACACTGTATTTTAAGTTTTTAGATTCTATTTTATTTCAATCTTGCATTAATTTTGAAGTCCCTAACCTCCACCTGAAGTCTACAATGGCAACTCTAAGATAGTGTTTACATAGCATTAATATTAATTAAGTTCAAACACAGATTAATACCTTTCTGCATAGTTTGACACAATGTTAATAAATATCTTACTGGTTCTCCTAACCTTTTAAAAATTCCTAACCAAAGACCAAATGAAGTGTGGTCTGATTCTTTGTTTGAGTGGGTGGGAGTTGTATGGCTAGAAGGACAAAGCTAAAAGAGCAGCTCCATGTAACAATGCTTTTTAAAGTTTGCCAAACAAATCTGCAAGTCAAAAGCAGCAAGCAAATCTGCACACAGGTGTGTATCTATGTCCAATAAACCTCCTCACTAACTAGGGTGTAGCTCTTTATGGCTTGTTTAAACAAGATACAGAGAAAAAGTCATATTAGGAGGTAACCTCAAACTGAACAAGTTAGAGTGATTAAAAAAACCCCTAGATGTAACACTTTAGTGGCCTACATCTACTTAAAAAAAAAGGGGGGGAGGAGGGGTAAAAAAGCTGTACTGGGAGATGAGAACAGGGAAAACTGTAATTCACTACAGTTACATAAAGGAGAGAGTCACAGAAAACTTGATAGTAGAAAACAGGCCCTTAATTGTAGAATTTTCCTTTCTATTATTGTATTAATGAACAGCAACTGCAATGCTTGTATAGAGCTCACTCATGAAACTGTAAGTGAGGAAAATGCCTCTTAGTTCCAGTCACAGTCACTCAGAGACTTTAGGAAATGACATTCTGAAGTTGTCATAATGATGTCCTGGCCCTACTAAGACAAAGCAACACCAAAACACAAGGCAAAACTATTTTTAAGAGTCAGAAGAAAAACTGTTGTTATTTTTCAGGTTTCTTCCCTGCCCTTAGGTCTACCTCACCTTGAAAAAACATGTCATACAATCTCTGTCTTGGGATGAAAATGTGATAAAAGTTGTACACTGGTGGATGAAGCAGTAACATTCATACCTAATCTTCAATAGTCATCCAGAAATACTAGAAACTCGAAATGAACTTCAGTAGAAACATAAAATCTAATAGCTGACACTTTGCTCTAGAGTATCACACAAACATACAAATGTAAGTATCTTGTATAACTGCGTCGTGGCTATTGACCACTTCAATTAACACTTTAAATCACATCACTCAATAATCAGTTTGTCTCAGTAGTAAAGAATCTGAACCCCCTTCCAAAGTCTGGTGCCTTGATTTTATTTGAAGCATTGACAGACTTGAGGATTAACCTAAGAACTGACAAAAAATATTAAGTAGCACTATGGAAGATTTACCAATGAAACAGTTACAGAGAACTGGGCACACCTGCAGTCATCTACTTGAGATGCTAGATACCATACATACGAGTTCAAGAAATGCAGACGTTAAAAGCACAGCTGAGAGGGGTACTAGAAAAGACCAAAATGCCTTAAGAAATAAGTTCATAAAATCAACTGAAATTTCCCAGAAAAAATTGAATTCTTGGCAGAAATAAAATTATACAGTCCAGGGTATTGGGCAGGGAATTGAACAGAATAAAAAATAAACAAATAAATAAAAAAGAACTACTGCAACTCTCATAGGATACTACTGCCCACAGGAATATTACCACTGTAACAGCAGAATCACTGATACAATATTCATAAGCCATGAAAACACTAATCAAAACGTTTATGAGACATATTTTCTCATGTTTCTCACACTGCTGAGAATGACAACAGTGCTGGAATAAGAACTGGAGCCTTTTACCTAAAAGCAATCAAAACAACATGAGCTGGCAACATGAGTTTGCAGCCCAGAAGGCCAACCATATCCTGGGCTGCATCAAAAGCAGCTTGGCCAGCAGGGCCAGGGAGGTGATTCTGCCCCTCTGCTCTTTTGAGACCCCACCTGGAATACTGTGTACAGTTCTGGAGCCTCCAGCACATAAGTACAAGGAGCTCCTCAAGAGAGTCCAGAGAAGGGTCATGAAGATGATCTGAGGGCTGGAGCACCTCTGCTATGAAGACAATCTGAGAGAGTTGGGGCTGCTCAGCCTAGAGAAGAGAAGGCTCTAAGGAGACCTCCTAGTGGCCCTTCCAGTACCTGAAGGGGCTAAGGAGAGCTGGGGAGGGGCTTTTGACAAGGGCTTGTAGCAAGAGGACAAGGTGTAATGGATTAAAACTGGAAGAGGGGAGATTTAGGTGAGACATTAGTAAGAAATGATTTTGTGCGAGGGTGGTGAGACAGTGAAACGCGTTGCCCAGGGAGGTTGGGGATGCCCCCTCCCTGCGAGTGTTCAAGGTCAGGTTAGATGGGGTTTTGAGCAACCTGGTCTAGTGGGAGATGTCCCTGCCCATGCAGGAGGATCAGAACTAGATGATCTTTAAGGTCTCTAGTCCAGAGAAGGGTCATGAAGATGATCTGAGGGCTGGAGCACCTCTGCTATGAAGACAATCTGAGAGAGTTGGGGCTGCTCAGCCTAGAGAAGAGAAGGCTCTAAGGAGACCTCCTAGTGGCCCTTCCAGTACCTGAAGGGGCTAAGGAGAGCTGGGGAGGGGCTTTTGACAAGGGCTTGTAGCAAGAGGACAAGGTGTAATGGATTAAAACTGGAAGAGGGGAGATTTAGGTGAGACATTAGTAAGAAATTATTTTGTGCGAGGGTGGTGAGACAGTGAAACGCGTTGCCCAGGGAGGTTGGGGATGCCCCCTCCCTGCGAGTGTTCAAGGTCAGGTTAGATGGGGTTTTGAGCAACCTGGTCTAGTGGGAGATGTCCCTGCCCATGCAGGAGGATCAGAACTAGATGATCTTTAAGGTCTCTTCCAACACAAACTGTTCTATGATTCTATTATTCCTGCCATAGTGTATGTTCAGAAACAACTCTGGGAGCTTTTTTCATACTAGGAGGCAATCAGTTTAGACGGTTCAAGAACTGCAAGACAGATGGATTGGGATTACATTGCACTTTATGCTCTAAGGTCCCTTTATCTTTTATTTTAACCATTATACTAAAAAAAAATATCGAATAAATTAATAATATTGAAAAATTCTTTCTGATATCCAGAACTATACAGAAAAATATACTGTAGCCATAAGGAGTGTCAACATACTTTTTTTACTCCATTTACTCAGTGAGCCAAGGGGTTAATATTTAAAGAGCATATGTTTTTGCTTTCAGTTAAGAGAGGCTTGGCATAGACTTGATAAAACTTCAGTTATGATTTCTAAAGCTTCTGTCCACAGGCAGCTGGTACTAAACAGGACAAGTGCAATTCCATGCTGGGTTTTCCACAAGAATAGAAAAAACAAGCAGACTGTTTCTCTGACAGGAAACTGGAAGATATTTCAAGTACACCATTAGGAATAGTAGCTAGGCAGGAGAAATGAAAAAAACCCAAAACCAACCTGAAATTGCCAACCCTGACCTGAAGGAGCTGGCTGGGCTACCATGCAAAACAGGACAGTACTAAATTTGGAAGTCAGTCTTTAACAAACACAGTCTGTATTTAATCTCCCTTCTTACACTGAAACTTTACCTGCCGCATTCTGTCTGATACAGACAATGCTCAATTAATGAATCAAGATTTTGGTTTTATCTAGCTTACTCTTGTTTTACAAGATACATTATCTTGTTTTATCTAGCATACTCTGATCAAACTCTACTCTCAAGAATTAACAATTCCATAATGGATTTGCTGTGAAGTTAATAATTAAAAGAAGTCAGGATTATGTAACACCAAGAAAATAACATATACAGCATTGTGTTCTCATATTCCCATTGTGCAAGTGAAACTAAGGTTAAATGTATTCACTGAGTGTGAAACAAGATGTGAGATCCTACTGCTTCCTATACATGATTTGATAAACTCAGAGCAGAACTTCTGTTAACTCCTTTGAAGCCACGAATACCCAATACTCCTAATTATCAGATCAACGCTTCCTATGTCATAATTCTCCAAATTTAGAAGCCTTGATTAGTATGAACTTCTGAAATTTTTTATTTCAGCATCTTCAGCTTCTATACCATCAGACATGAACAGTCAGAGGCAAAGACAAAATAAAATTTTTCAGGGAAGTATTTCTTTGTCCTATGTAACAGACCATCTCTTTTCTATTATTCTCTATTGTTTGCATCACATGATTTTACTGTTTTGGAATAAAGATGTGATCTGTCACAGAATTACTTCTTTACCATATTAAATCTCTTGCACTAAATGAACTAAAAGAAATAAAAGTCGAATCCATAAAAACCCTCAAATTATTCACTGGTCAATGAACACATTTGAAATTCTTGTAACCTTTTATATGGCTTTTTTTACAGAAGACAATGTCTGAACTAATAGCAATAATTCGTTCAGAAAGGCATAAGACCTTCTTATGTAAACAATAACTAAGAAAACAAGCAATGTAAAACTGTCCTCTACACAGAAGCCTTTCTACAGTTCTTACAGAAAGATACCTGCTTTTCAGATGTGTAGGACATTTTCTTAATGAAATTTACCTCCCACTGTTTTTAAACTAATAATACACACTTGAATTCATTAACTGTTATGTATTTCACGATCACATATCAACACCTGATCAGATTTTTAGATTTAGAATGATTGCACTAATTGCTGACAATAAAAAGAACTCCTCAGTGAGAGGCAGACAGATGTGAAGTCTGGTTTAAAAAAATGGACTGTTTTATTAGCTGGTAAGAGGTGCCCCATCTTAAGGTTAATGTTTAATTGTAATCTTTGTACATCAACAAATACGCTTGTAAAGAACCAGCCCT